CGTATGTACGTACGAAGCGGGGGCGACGCAATGTCAACCGTTCGTGCATTATCAACAAGACAATATTTTTTTGTAAACATCGCCTGCTTTGACAGGAGCCAGACTATGTTCATATTTAAATGTGTGTATTACAAGAAGTTAATTCAAGTTAGGGACGTATAACGAATCACACCGATGTCTTTGCTGAGCCTATGGTGTACCTTTAAACATTTTCGTTCCGTGGCTTTCCGCATTTTTTGTATACAAATTACAGCCTAGAAATTTTTTTGCCATTAAATCATAATATTATAATAAGAATGTTCAATTCTGGCCTTTTCGAGTGCAATCGTCGAAAGAGGAGATGTTTGTAACAAACACCTAATACTTTATTTTTACCGAAGATCCGCTAATTTTTCGAATTTATTTTTCAGAACAAGGTCGGCCTCAGCCGCGCGTTCATAGTACAACATACATATCTACATTCACACACGGTTATGACGACTGAACGACTTCGATGTCGTAACTATAACGTACGTAGAACGCGAGAGCTTCGAAGAGCGCTGACCTGTAACCAGCCCTTCCATCTTCATGTGCAATGCAGATTGCCTAAATACTAAAAAGAGACAACAATACAGACACCCACAGTCGGTAAATGGTACTTGTACTGTCAACGCAAAAACGCGCTTGGGAATAACAACGAGAATAACACCGAAGGAAACACTCGATTCAAGTGAATCTATTTCGATGTTATCTTCTACAAATAGTCACATCGGCTCCGCTAGTGATTGCCGCCTATGGTAAGCGGTACCGAGGAGCAAACCAGATTTATCTGTTCGGAATTCGTAGAAAAAGCGAATTTGTTCGATTCGAATAGGCCGTATGCTGCGAGTGGAGTTGCCATATGTAGTCCGCAGACGACTACAAAGGAAGACTAAAATTAGCCTCAATCTTCGACGTTAGACCAGAGTCTTCCACTGACCCAACCCCATTTATGTGGACTCACTGTAATAGCGTAGAATATGATGATTGCCGATTTCTATGCAAAGTAAGAATTTTTCGCTCGGACGACCACGGAATACACATTGTATATGTAATGTATTGGCCGTGTTCTGTTGTTATACTGTGCCGCGTTGTGCCAAGAATGGCCGAGATAACAGTTTAAACGAAATAACTTCCAATTATAAAAACTGAACTTTTATGAGAACATTATCATGCCATCCGTTAAAATGCCAGCATTTAGGCATTATATGATAACAGCTAATAGAAAATGTTATATACGAGAATGCAAGACCTTGAACACACGCCTGCGCCCCATAACCCGGCTGTGCTTCAAAAAAAAAAGATGCCCATGATGCCAAAGCGTGTAATCTTAGTTGGGCGATAACGCATTCGTTTTGCGTATTGAACAACTGTCAAAAAAGGGGCGTTCCTTTTGCTAGATAGATGGTATATAGTCTGCTGTTTGCTTAGGGTCAGCAAATTCTAGAAAGTCTGCTTATTGTTTCTTATGTTTCAAAAAGCTCAGGTTGGCTGATTATGAAGCTAGACCTTTACGAAGGCCCACCTGATGTCGTGTATAGCTAAAAACTTCTAACGGCAGGTCAATAACCCATACAGAGTAGTAGGAGATTTCGGACGAACTTTTTCTTTATATATATA